GTTGTTTTACCAAATCGGTGAGAATAGCCATGGCGGGGTGTTGTTATTAGTTAGGAATGATTTAGTTACGCAAAGAGTCGATATTGCTCTACCTAATGTGTGTGCGGTTGATATTGAATGCCGGTGTACTCAATTTGAAGAAAAAATTCGAATCATCAGTGTGTATGCACCGGACAGTAAAACGTGGAGCTGGTCGGACTTGTCTATTCTTTCAACTGCCTGTTGTGTTTTTATTGGAGATTGGAACTTTTTATCAAAAACCACAAATCCGGGAACCGAAAGCCTTGTCGGGATATTTACTCTGAAGTGTCCTCTACAAATTGGTGGAAAAAACCGGGTGGGGGAACCCTCCTTAAGGTACGCACCATTCAACTGAGTAATCAAAGGTGAAGAAATTAGAATAGTTTGATATCTCTGCTTGGCTATATGACGCATGTCTTGAGCTCCTAGACAATATATACTGATGGGTTTTATACACACACGTATATTCGCATTTTGAACTACAATACTGTTATATAAATTTATTATTTGTCTGCTAATTACTGAACCTTTTTTTATTATTAAAGGAAACGAATGTTGGTACGAATAACGATTGTGTGTTTAAAGTTGGTGATGTATTTAAGTCTTTTAATGAATTTAAATATAAATTAAACGATTATTCAACAAATATTGGAGGAATGTTTTCTATCGGGCATTCAACAAAACTGAAACAGACATCTGAATTAGCTTTTTAGATTTATTGGATGTTTAAGCGATTTATTACCGCGTGCCCACAAAAGTCATTTTTTAAATAACTTTCGGCTGACAATAGTTACAAAGTTGTGATTTTCGTCATTCGATAGCCAAGACATCGCCAGATTTTTATGTAACAAATGAGCTTTTCAAAACAGTTCCAGTGGTTCATGTGTGTTATGGGATTTCTTTCGAGCCCCAGCACTGATACCCGGTGATATTGAAATTGCATGAAACATACATACAAAAAGCAGTTTGTTGAATTTTAGTCCTTGTTGTCATTTAGAGACATAAAACAAGATACAAAATGTACGACAAATCTGATGTTCCTTTTACTGTCAAGTAGTTACGGTTTTTGGTCAATGGAAGTTCGAATTACAGTGCAGATAAGGTGTTCTGTAAAGAAAGTGTAGCTTCCTAAATATGACCAAAATTTTAGCCCATTAGTATAAAAGTGTGAAATAAATAGTATAAATAAAATTACAAATTGTGTGTGACATTTGTCTGCGTTTCCAAAAAACGACTACTTTTTAATTAATGAGTAATCAATAATTGTAATTTGAGAAATAGAAATAGAAATTGGTCGCTTTCTAGAAACAATCGAGTACAACAGAAGTAGAAACATACATAATAGGAATTGGTGATATACTAAAAAGGCCATCTCAACAAAGAATTTAGTCTTCGTCACGACTATCTTTGGTATCTTTTATAACGTATGTATACCGATGAGAAAGCGGTCTTTCGTTGCCATGTTTCTATATTTACGTTATCAATAAGACAGAACTTATGATTAAATATTACAACGACTAATCATACTATAAAATATTCTTTTGCGAGAAATAATCATTAGAATATGTTCTACTGATTATCAATCAAAATGAACCATCTTGCTCTGGGGTTTGGTTCTTATTCTGACTTTCGTCCATAAATATAGCCATTAGTTTTTTTAGTATAGCTGCAATTACCAACAATTCTTATCATATATGTTTCTACTTCTGTTGCACTCGATTGTTTCTAGAAAGAGACTAATTTATATCTATTTCTCAAATTGTACTTGTTGATTACTCATTAATTAAAAAGTAGTCGCTTTTCGGAAACACAGACTAACGCAGGTTTACACGGCAAAAAAAGCGTCCAAAACTTGACGCTTTTTAGTGAGCTGTTTTTTCGTCACATCTTGGTATATTTTTTTGCTAGACATTTTTTTCTGGACGAATTTCTTCGTATGTTTTTTTTTGTTACATGGAAAAACAAAATTTGAAAAGATTTCTAAAAAATATTTTATTAAGTTTTGAACGCACTAGACTTTGGAAACACGCCTTTTCTGCTGGACAGATCCACTATTGCAGGAAATCAGTCGTTTCTGAGATAAGTTAGTGCGGTGAAGCGAGTCATCTATGCAGTATGCACTTAAATACTATACTTGGACAAATTTTTGTGGACTCATTTTTGTCGACGCTTGTATGCTTTTTCGTGGACGTTTTCTAGTGGACTCTTTTTTGGACGCTTATTTTCTTGCTGTGTACACTCGTTCCATTTTGCGATCACTTGGACAGAATAAGTTTTACACCCTACGAGTGATACATATTTCTCTCTTCTTATACATATATGCACGTTTTGTTTTCTTTCTTTCATCTATTGTTCATATAACGGCAATGGATGACTCATCACAAATTCAAAATAAGTTAAGTAACGAAACAATGACCGTATCATCAAACAAGGATTTTGGCAAATATTATGGCACTGATGCGAACAATAAACGGCTTAAGCAATATATATCATCGGCACAATTTTCACAAAATCAATCGAACATGACAACAGCAGTCACAGGATCGGCAAACAAGCAAACAACCAAAGGAAATCACAATCACAAAAATCTGACTTTCCACCATTTATAGTCAAGTTTAAAGAGGATCAACAAGAATTAACCGATCGGAAACTAATTGATGAACTAATTACAGTTTGGAAAAATCAACATAACAAAGATATCAATATTACTGGTAGATTTGGTGATAAGCAGTGGCTACTGATATTTGCAAATGAGCCACAAACATTTGAGGATCTGCTAAACGCACAAAGTTGGCCAGACAAGTTGAACAATAGCGAAATATTGATCAAACAACCTCGTCAATTGCCTTCGACATATTCACTAGTTATACAACAATTTCACAAAAATTGGAAAGAAAAAGAAGTTCTAGAAGAACTGAAATTACAATATTTATCATTAAAAAACTTAACAAGAATGTTCACAAAAGACGAAACTTCAATGAATATTGTCAGAGCGGATTTTTCGTCATTAAGAGAAGTTCAAGATTTACTAGCAATAGGATCAATATCAATTAGTCATCTAAAACACAAGGTTAAACAGTATTATGCACCAATTAGAATCCAAAAGTGCATGAAATGTTTCAGTCATGCTCATCCTACAAATAACTCCCAGCAAAGCCATCAGATGTGTATTAGGTGTGGACAGCAGCATGCATTTAATAATGAGTGTAAAAATGAAATTAAGTGTATTAATTGTCATGGTGAACATTATGCTGGCCATTCCTCGTGCCCCAAAGTACAGAAAATAAGAAAAGAAATCAGTGAAAAGTATAAAACCAACCGAGCAGAACTTATGGTTGGATTTGAACAACAACAACAAGAACATAATTAAGGATACGACGATCAAGGCTTTCCACCACTGAATACAGTGCCATCAATAATGCCATCAATACCATGCCTTGCGAAGTATTCGGCAGTTATAAGACAGCAGCAACAACCTCAACAAACACCCATAACGACGAACTATGAATCAAGAAGTATTGAAAATATTTTAAATTCATTTATGAATAAAATTGATGCACGAATACAACAAATGGAAACAACAGTGATGACACAGCTATGTGATATTGAAATTAAAATTGATAAACAACAAACAATAACGAATACATTAGAAGAAATTATTTATGATATTGTATTACCCGGGACAAAATTAGTACAGGATGTAGCCTTCCAAATGACTCGTCATGCTCCAACCAAGCAACAATTAAGTGATTGATAAATATAATAGTCCAACATGAGTTGAAAATCTATCGACAAAACAACTGGATCAGATTCATCACAAATGTAGCATCACCTAATCCAACAATATTCTGGAAGACAATAAAATGTCTAAACAAGGGAAAATCAACACAATTTTCTACTATGCAGATATAGTAAGCTCATACAATGAATTGTTCAACGGAGCCCATTGGGATAAGTCATGGAAACAATCAAGAACAGTGTGTTCTAATAAGGTGGATAATCCCGCACCTCCCACACCACAATTACGGCCGATATCACTATTACCCGTATTCAGCAAATTATATGAGCGTTTATTTCTGCTTAAATTTAAAAAATGGCTCGATTAACAAAATATTTTACCACCGCAACAAGCAGGAGCACAAAAACATCTATCCACATCGTCGAGAGAAAATCTTCTGATTGAACAGACAACACAATCGTTGCGTTACAATTCATTTACACCAGTCATCTATGTTGACTTTAACCCTTAAAAGCCGAAGGGGGTTCTGCTTATGGCAGGAGGGAGCTAACCACAAACATATAGATTATGGGCCCTCAGCATACTCATACTATAGTAAAAAATAACAATCTTGGTCTTCTTCCAGGACTACCCCATGTCCCTTTGTAGAAATCGGCGCCCTCATAAAAATCCGAAAGATAAGAATTTTGGTTTGAGAATCTGCCCTTAGATAGATTTCATAATGCTTCAAACGTCCTGAAATTTTCACTTAAAACAGATGTTTTTTTATCGAGATATTTGATACCCAAGAAAACCGGTCACATTTTGCAAAAATGGCTAAAAACCGACTTTTCTTCGACATTCAGTATGTCGCGAAGGAAACAACCGTTGTTGCTGCAATTTTCAGGATGCTCTAAATATGAGTAAAGCTATGTTTGAGCGCTCTTTCATATTGAAATTGCTAGTTTTTGTTTTTCTATAAGCCTGAAGATCCCATCCATGAAGCATTTCCTTTACATTGGCGTAATCTGCCACTAGATCGGTTAAAAAAATAATGAAATACATCCATCAGATAGCTTGACGCTATGTCTAAGGATGCTACAGAGAAAGAACGAGACTATACGTCCCATTTCTGAATAAATGAAAATCTAAAAAAGAAAAATTATTTCAAAATCATTATCAGCTGTAAAAAATCAATTGATTCGTCTGGCAACCACTTTATTTTGATGTCAGTATGGCCACCAAGATCATCTCAGCCCAGAAAAATATCCACTTCTGTTTCAAAAGTCTTCTTACGATTTGTACTGCATTTATTCAAATGTCCCTTGGAAGGGACATTCGGCTCTTAAGGGTTAAACAAGCCTTTGATATGGGTATGGCAACAAGGCTTGATATTAAAATTGTATAAGTTAGAGTGCCCACTTGCATACCTTCTGTGGATCACGAGATATTTTCAAGACAGAACTATTATCACTGATCATAATGGACATCTTTGAAATGAAATTGACGTGCTACGGGGTGCTCCACAAGGCTCTGTGCCTGGACCGATTGTATACACTGTCAACACATATGATTTACCACAAATTTTTGAAAATCCAGAAAACACATATCTATACGTTGATGACCTAGCCAATGTATATATACCATCAATATTTTTGAAATACAGTCAACAAATACGAAATTTGGAAAAGCGCATCATCGACGACATGATTAAACTGAAAAAATATGCCGATGATTGGCATCAGCCTGTAAACATAAGTAAAGCCGAATTTGTTGTCTATCGTGTATCGGTTCAATGTCCTAAGCTGAATATTTTGTACGAAAATCAACGGCTAACACAACAAAAAACGTTCAAATATCAAGGCTTTTATAACTATTCTAAACTTTCATTCTGTCGGATGATTGATGCTCAGTTTATCAAACTCAGAAATTCTTACACTATCCTGAAATATATACATCATCAATTTCCAGTGTTTTTCTCTTTAAAACAGCGGTTCTTCAACACTTACACCTGGTCTCATCTCTATCAACAGTCTATTGTTTATTTTCTCATACCTCAAAAAACCGTGTCAACTCTTTCTACCGTCGTTGTCTACGCATGATCTACTGTATTTTGCGTGCCCCAACTGCTGATTTACATTCCACTTTTGCTCGCCCAACTATAGAGGAAAAATATAAAAAATGTCTGGATAAAAGACTAAATAGTATTCAGTTGTACGAGCATGAGTTCTTAGACTGTGTACTACTGAATAAAAACATTGTAAACAATTTCTTTGCACACTATCAAAGGAAATACTGTATAAAATGGCTACCAAAAGGTAGACCTAACAAAAGAATTGTAAAGTTTGCATCAAGTAAAAACGAAACGTTTTTTGATATTCTCTGTGATTTTGAGTGGTCAACATGATTCCCTTATTTTGTTTTTGTTTTTGCCTTATCTCTATTAGAATGAAGTGAAGAGGGATGATATTTTTTAAAGACACTATAAGTTGTAGCCTGTATTTATTCTATTTTTTAAATGTACATGCATAAGTAGCTTTTATAAAATCTCCTAGTTAGTGTATTAAATTATCTTTAGACTGACAGCGCCCAAGTGGCGAACCAGTCTTCCCGCTTTCTCTTAAATAAATCGAGCGCCAGCCCGAACCACTCTGACAGATCCTTTTTTCAGAGTTCTGTCCGTTCGACCTAATGGTTCTGTCGTCATAAAAAGTTTGGTGAAAAATCTTCATAGGCTCCGTATGGAACCTTTTTTAGAATTTTAAAAGGTTCCGCACAAATGAAAGAGTAGTTGTAACGGAAATTTATCGAGTTGAATCAAAGAGAGGTTTTGAACCAGTTAGCATGGATGTTTTTAAAATAGTTCGTTGTGTTTCAAAATTTATCACAATGAGTCTGTGAACTTGATCATTGCATCTAGGAAACTTTCGATTGACGAACAACCAAATTGGGTAAGATGAGATTCTGCCTGTATATTTTAAATCGTTCATCAAACTTCACATAAAGAGGAGGAAAAAATGCTTTACAAAGACATTTATGTTGTAACGAGTATCTTAAAGTTACAGGTGTGGCTGTGTAGAATACATTGAGAGGTTCTTCTCCAGATAACCGATCTTTATAATCATGGCTTACAATCGGAATCATTTTAATGTTTGAGGAGCGTCTCTCAAGCCACAAATGATTTGTGCATGCACAAATCATTTACAAATCTATAAAAAAAGTAATAAAAGTGAAAAATCGTGGCAATTTTTTACTATTCACATCTATATTTACTACTAAAAACTAGTTTTTATAGTCGAATTTACCAGTACTCTCATATTACTTTAGCCCATCTTACAATCAAAATAACAGTAAAAGTAGCGAAAAAGGCAAAAAATGAAGCGTAAATCTTTTGTATTCTTTTAAAGACACAAAAAAACAACAGATTATACAATACTGAGCATCATCCAACATCAGTGATATAAGACGTTTTTGTCGCTGTACAAAAAATATAATAGTAATCGAATTTGTATCAGGAGTAGGCCGGACGTAGATACAACATATTCACAATATAATACAAAAACTGTTTTTTGTTTTCTGTCTGTGATTACCACTTGATACTGGGCCACTAGTATTCACTTTTTTTTCATCCAATTTGTCAAACCAAGGATCAATGGAACCTTCAAAACGAAACTTCAATATTGAGATAACAGACAATTTTAAACATTTTCTGAGAGCTTTTGACGTTTTTTGCTTCATCTTTAGAATTTCGAGAAATGAGAAAAAAACTGACTAAAACATATATCTATCGAACCACATATAATAGAGCCAAAAATAAAATAGTGCTTAAACTTCGAATCTGGCTCTATATATAATCTCAGTGACTGATGATATTAGTGAATTTTTTGACTAATTACTTCTTATCTTCATCCAGATGTAAGTGTTCTGAATGAAAGCTGATCAACAGTGCTTAGTCGAATAAGTTCACAAATAAAAGCCACAAGTCACGACGTGTAGATATATTCGTTATTTTTCCATTTTATGTTTGGTTTGACGATGAGACAAGGAACTTCGAAAGCTCACAACGGAATGTTTAGAATTTGAAATATCTGAACAAAATGATGTAAAGTTTTAAACAAAATTAAAAAAAAAGTTTCTTACCCATAAGAACTTTCACCACGTAATCACCATAACTAAATGGGAAACCTTTTCCTTGTACATTCAAAATTTCTTTCTTCTCATTTCGATAATCATCCACAACATCAACATGACTATTCAGCAAAGTAAGAAACATGATAAATAACAATTTTCTCTTTTTTTGATCCACTTACGCTATATTCTTGTCCCAACTATTGAGATATCCTATGCAATCATCATCATCTGTACATGCTATAAATGTTACCGGTATGCGATTAGCTGGATTTCGTTCATGTTTTAGTACGTGTTCCAGCGTTTTAATATCTCGTCGTCCGCCCTCATCGGTCGGAATTCCGTCTAAAGTTGACAAATTCTTAAAAGATTTTTTTTTTAAAGTTGGATCTTGTTAGTCTTGACAATTTGAAATGTACGCCGTCTTCGCGATCATCATGCAACTTCTCTCTCTATACATCTTAGGATATAATGGATGATGTAAAAGTTGTTTCCCTTTTTTGTTTTTTGTCGTGTCTCAGTCCAGAAATATGGTACATACTCACTTCTTTTTCTATGAGATAGAGCAGATTCTAGTCTACAAAAATATATAACAACAGTGGACCTCAATCAGTTGGAAAAAGATATATCATTTTTAGAAGACAAGACATCAATAACCCATTTGTAAAAATCATGTTTGAACATGGGGATTGCATATTTTCTTTGATCAGTTTTTTGTTCGTGTTTGGAGTTTTCTTGATACACTAGATACCGATATACTCATAAAAATCTGACCTTTCTTGTGACACCACAATGTGCTGCTACATACCGCATAATTAGGGTGATCACTGGGGTTTAGTTGGAAAAATTAAAAAATGTCAAATTCTGTGCAAAAATGAAGTCACAGATATTTAATTACTTAAAGCCAATAGTTTCTATCCTCATCTAGGTCGTCGTGATAGTACACTTAAAGAGCTTTAATTTGATGTTTGGAATATCAGAAATAAACTGTTCTAATTTAGAATTATCAGAGTGTTGAATAATTTCATCCTGTTATACGATCCAAAAGAAATGGAAAAAATGTTGAGCATTATTTGTGCATGTTCCTGATGCGCGGGCGATTTAATTGTTTTTCTGTTAGAAAGAGCAAAGTCTGAATTTCAACGAACATACAGAAAATATATTATATATATATATACTATATTGATCCATTTACTGTAGAGAATTTCTCATTAACTCCTTAATAGTAAAAAAAAACGTATTACAAAAGTCAGATTTGGTGGAAAACTGTACTTTTCATAAGAAAGCATGACATTGAGAAAATTGCTTAAGGGGATGGACACAATAGAGGACCCGGGTCTTATATCCCGTCCTAGCGCTCATAACTTTGAAGGGAGTCTTCTAAAGCGTCCCTAAAAAAAGCCGATTTTAAGCTGAAATCGCTTGATCGAGAGTTCGCACTGTGACAAAGCTATGTACGTACGCACTTCTTTTTGTCTAGCAGCTGTATATTCACTCTAACCCAGGTCGTCCATTCCGGCGTCGGGATCCTGCCGGATCCAACATCGGAACATGCCGGAAGTTGGTGGAATTTGGTAAAATCCGGCAGCAACCATACCGGACCATGCCGGAATCCGTGCCGGAAGATGTTGGACAAGATCAGACCGGGTCCGACATCTTCCGGCCGATGAATCGGGTTTTGCTGGATTTGGCAGAATGTGATCAATTTTAAGGTTAAAAATAATCTTCAATTTTTTCTTTCATTTTGTAGTGGTTCTTCTTTCCGTTCATTCGAGAGAGTGGAGGGGCCCGCTAGCTAGGACGTGTATAACACGTCCGTTGAACAGTGTGAGCGATGGCTCACAATGTTAAGAATTTGAGAAGAACAACTTCTCATTGTTCATTTTCTGCAGTGTCGTATTTAAAGTGCTCCTGTCGTGAAACAAACGGCAGGATCCGATCGGGTGAATTCGACCTAGGAACAGCTGAGGGAAAAGACGAACGGAAAGTTTAGTGTTTGATCGAACCTCAAAATCAACATATTTTAGGTCAAAAAATCGATAAAAACAAGGGGGTCTCCTAACGTGGTTTTTGCGTTATGAGTTCAAGAGGGGTCTTGTAACAGGGGGATCTTCTATCGTAGGGGGTCCTCTATTGTGTCCACCCCTTTATTATATTATTTAGGACTCAAGATATGTCATTAAAAATTAAAACTAATGTGACCTTGCAGGGAATTGAATGTTGTTTCAGAAAATGGATTTTAGCAAAAGGACAAAATTCGTTTAGTATATGAAAATTATTGATTAAGTCTAATCAACTCTTTTCTGAAGCAAATGAAAAACTCACGCATTTCTAATTGAAAAGTAGATCGAAAGATAATTTATCACATCCGATTCAGAAGAGAAATAAAAAACACTTCTAGTTTCTATAATTACGTAACTTCAAACGTACTCTGTTATAGTGAAAAAGTACTTTTGATGAGAGCGATATATTTCAAGAGAGTAGAGTTGCAAAAGTTTTTTGGGCGGCGTTTGGTGTTTAGATTTCTTCTCACTTAAACTCAATTACAGTTGCTGTTTCTAACGGAAAAACAATTAAATCGCCCGCGCATCAGGAACATGCACAAATAATGCTCAACATTTTTTCCATTTCTATTGCATCGTATAATAGCACCATCACTTTTCCACTCGATATTTTTTACTTTAAAAATCATGACGAAGTTTTCTGTTTAGATTCTCCTCTTGTCCTGTATATAACGGGTGGGCCAGAATAAATGGCGCATTTTTGTTCTTTGTTTTTTAGACACTTCCCAGTGGTGCAAAGAGTTGATTCTAGGCTCAATCGATAGAGTATTGAATTCACTACAACACCTGCGATTTGAATCTCTGAGAACATTTTTCTCATTTGAGGCCCATTCAGAATATTGTAGGGTGCTGGGTTGTGGAACTGCGATACACTGAAGTCGTTTCGTTTTTTTTAGATTTTTAGCCCGTTGTCTGATATTTAATAGTTTATTTTTCTATGCAGAGACTTTTGCGCTCTATCGATCTCGCTCATTCACAACTTCATACAGTGTTTCCGCTACATCAGCTGGAATCATAATTAGTTCTCAACCGGCTTTCCAATTTTTTCAAATTAAATTAATTTTTTTTAATTAATGGTTTCAATCGAAAAACTTTGTTTATATATCAAACAACGCATGGTTTAATTCTGTGCGAGATAACAAGACTAAAACCCTGAACTCAGAACGTTTTACTGCTTTTATAGCCAAGAAACTAAAGTCTGTTAAAAGTAGATTCAAAAGTTAGCTTTTTTAAGAGTTATCAGTTTTTTGCACAGCGAAATTTTCCTAGAAGATTTAACTGCAAAATTTCAAAAAATATGTGAGGAAGTGCAGAATTTTTCGGTGATCTTCTCAAAATTCTTATGGAATCTTTTTTTGGATCAAGGCAAATGTTTTTCTATTTTCAGTGTGTTGCAGTTCGACAACTCAGCATCCTTCAATATTTTGAGAGATGCTCAAATGAGAAAAATGCTCTCAGAGATTCAAACAGCAGGTTTTGTAGAGAATTCAATACTCTATCGATTGAGCCTAGAATCAACTCTTTGCACCACTGGGAAGTGTCTAAAAAACAAAGAACAAAAATGCGCCATTTATTCTGGTCCACCCATTACACTGCAAAATCCTATTTAAAGTGAATATATTAATTGACTATCCGGTACAAGAGGGAAATATTTCGCTTTTACAAATGGGTCATTGACGGCTTGTCTTCTAAAACTGATATCTCTTTTTTCGACTGATTGATGTCTACTGTTGTTATATATTTTTGTAGACTAGAAACTGCTCTATCTAATGGAAAAAGAAGTAAGTATGTACGATGTTTCTGGACTGAGACATGAAGTAAACAAAAAAGGGAAACAACTTTTGTATTACCCGGTATATGTTGGACATCACAAAAATAAGTCGGTGTTTACAAGCGAGTGGCGATCCTCTTATTTTCATCTTACTTGATGTATAGATATGCGTCGGTTATCCATACCGAAAATACCGATTTTTCTTTTACTAGGACTTTTTTGAATTTTTCCATTTGAAATGAGATATTTTTGAGTCGTGACACCCAGAAAGAATCAAGGACGCAAAACAAGAGCTTTGTTTGCTTTCTAAAGCTCAAATTTTTCTTTTTTTTTTGCTATCTGCATATGCTCAGAATAAACAGCTGAAGGTTTTTTATGTGTTTTGCCTGTCCAGGACGCTAAAATATTTCATTTCAAATAAAAAAATGCAAAAAACGTTCTAGTAAGAAATAGCCGGTATTTTCAGTATCGGTATATGCCGACATTCAGTATTTTCGATATTTGATATACTAATACCGGTGCATACTTATAGACGTAGTCAGAAACGCCGCGAAAACGCAAGCTTTTTCAAATCTTTTACTCCAAAATTCAAAAAGTTATTGCTCTGGAAATGAGATAAATAATTAGCACTATCTCAGATAGTGCTAATTATTTAAATTTTAGGCAAAACACCTGAGGGGGACCTCAGGCAAAAATTTCGACAGGAACTTTTTGTCTGCCTTCAAGATGAAACTTAGGTGAACACCGTTTCTCGACATGCCCGATCCGAATATCGCGGTCTCCCGGCTTGAATCGTTGCGAGGAAAAAGCAGGTAGTTTTCATATGGGTGTATGTTAATAACGATAACAGCATGTGAAAACGAAGAGGAGAAGCTTCTGAGCTCTGATTTCGTGCTGCATAATGAGCAATTGTTGAGGACTCATTATAAATACTCTCGATTTAAGAGTAAACATCAACATATTTTCTTTTCTTCGTTTACTTTTTTTGAAAACATTGCATTCTTCTTGCTCTCTTTCACTAAGTGGCTCCCAACTTCCACGATATAAACGCTTGACTCTTCGTAACAAAACGTCTTTGTCCGCTGAGTTTACTCCCAAAGTCAAAAGTTGAGGCTCAAGTTTTTAATCAATTCCTCAGGTCATGATGATGAATCAGTACATTTTACTCTTAAATTTAAAGAAGTTTATATTATATCTCAGACATAAACTGCGGCTTAATGGAAACAACTAAAACTGGGAAAGCGTATTCGAAAAAGCACAGCAACGGATTTCAGAATAATTTAGTTTTTTTTCACAGTTAAGTGTCTGCAAGTTAGAATAGAAATTAGTTCAGAAAATGAAAAATATGTTTAATTTTATTGCAGAAACTATAGCGAATGAAGTTTCTTGCAACTAAAATGTCTTGTATGTCAAAACTTATGTATTATTAGACAAATCGGATGTTTACTCTCAGATTTGAAATTTTTCGATTTACTCCTAAATCGGAAGATTCCCTCTCTGCTTCCTGTACTTCGCGGCGTCCGTGGATGTAGTCGAAATGAAAATTAATCTAATACTAAAAATTTCATTTCTTACCTGTGGCAATCAATATTAACAATTTTCGTTCTTGTATTTCTGCTTGTTTGTCACGCAAAACTTGTCTCAAAATGGGTACAATTGGCGTTGGACCAGCAGGCGGCACGACGAAAGTAATATCTAACTCGGTTGAATTTTTGACATGAAGCATTGGCTCTCGATTTAAGAAGTAAACGTCAACACCGTCTCTAGAAAGATTCTGTAATACGGTATAACAATTGGAGAACAGATCAAGCAGTTCAAACATTTCATAGCAAAGTTAATTTTTAAACGTTCCCATTCAAGTAAACTACTTTTTACATAGTTTGGTAATTTGAGGTTTTTTCTATATTTAAACTCGACTTTATAAAAAGTGTAAAGCTCGAAGATTCATTTCGACTTTTGGGGGAAAATAATCTATTTTCTTTTCAGCTTTTTCAGCTTTCTATCAAATCGTGAGCAGTAACTCACAGCCAACGTGATTATACAGACTGTGTGCTTAGTAAGGAGAAATTCGAACTTTCAATGCCTAAGTTTTTCAGTTATCAAAAAGCCGCCATGAAACCATATTTTCTTCCGTATATAGTACTAATCCTATCAAACAAATTTAAGCATGCAATAAACTTACGGATCTAAAACACTTGCAATATCGACAACAATTGAAACAGTTTGCTTTAGTTCATCCCATCTTGATATATTCTTGGCGAAAGGGCTACTGATGTCGCCTTCAAATATTGTAAACATAAATGTGTTTTATCAAGTTAGGTCATAGTTTCGATATTTTTACCTAATGGTGCGTTCATTGAGCCAGAATCATCAACAATAAAAACAATTTCATAACCTTCTAGATGTCTTAATCTTGTGGCAAAATCTCTGTTAATTTCATATCTATTAACAATATCTTGGAATTTAGACATTCGATCATTTGATGATGATTGATAACTTGTACGTTCAATAGTATTGAAACTTGTTGGATGTTGTATTTGAGGATTAATGAGAGTTATATCATGATAAGGTGGAGGTGCTGATGATGGTGGAAACTGTTTAATTGGATCCATTATCTTGTCAACTTTTAAATAAGTAACAGCTAAAACGGTGATCAAAAAAATTGTTAAAAAAATATAAATAACTCGTATGTTCTTCTAAATACTATATACTTACTTCGTTTTTCTAAATTCAATCTACACTTATGATTAGAATAGTAATAGTTAACAAAGTAGAATTAATAGAAAAAGTAACGAAGGACACCGGTAGTTCTCGTTTTTCTATCTTTCACGTTCATGATGATTCTATGCTTATGGTATTTATTGTGATAGAATTGCTTCATGTTTACGCATAGTAGAAATGAATCATATCGCTACTTCACTACGTCATATTTTTATTTCTGACGTACATAGTTCTTTAACGTAGGAAAAATAAAAAGAACGAAAAAATGTGGTTAACGACCTGACACATGACGCATAGCTACGACAAAATGTTACGCACCGTTTTGGATATGAGTTAACTATTTGATGTTTTAATAAAAGGAGCTGATATACAAATAATTTTCATGTAAGATATTTATGTTAAACAAAAGGAAGGTAACGACATACATCAGTAAGTGTGAACAAACATTTAAACGTTACAAAGTCGATCAAATATGACACTCTCACCTTATTATAACCATTATTAACTACAAAAAAGACATAAAACTCAATAAAAATTGAATACAAAATTTAGAAGTTTTTCATTTCCATTTTTATCTGCCTTTATGACTTGACAAGGAAGTACCCTTCCTGAGGGCTAGTATTGAGCACCCGTATCATGATTTCAGGACATGTTCGTGGTGCCACCGTATTGGTCATCTCATAGAATGGAGAAACTTTTGCGAGTTAATCAGATAAATTATGGTGTGTAGACGTGTGCACATTCTCTTCGTCACAACTTTTATGTGAAACAAATATTTACGAAGAATACGAATGGATGGTATGAAAAAACAGTATAGAAGAAAAATCATAAACTGATAAAAGCATGTAGAATATCGATAAGAAAAATAACATAGGAAAGTGGCACTGAAAACTCATAATCAAAGATATTAGAATTTCTATGTGGTCAAATTTAGTCACTGATAAAAAAAAAGAGTTTTCAAGCGCTGAGAAATGACCCTATGTTAACGAAACCAGACGAAAACCGGCAGTTAATCACGGTTATTTTAAGTACCGACGGTTAATCATCGGTTTCGACAACATCGGACCGTTATTTATTTTATATCATCGGCTATCGGTCAATCTAAAACACGGCCTTTTATGTTTGAGAGCTGCCTGTCCTAATAGTTTATAGAATTTTCTATATAATTTTTTTCCTTTAGAAAAGGAAAATGTTTCGATTCCAACGAGAAATATGCGATTCAATAGGAACCTTTTCAAAACAACTCACATCTATTCTCTACAAGACAAAAAAACTGCTCGAGAAATACTCGGACGCTCATTTATTTTAAGCTATCCGTTCCCATTGACAGGATGGTCTGCTATGTTATCTGCATCTATTCAGCGCTACAACTGCTTTACAAAGACACCGAGTTTATTAACTTCTACAGCTAGAAAATAGATAATCATCTGACTTCATCGAAATATAATAATTCGTAGAATATTGATTTTGAATCGATTCCTTCTCCCTCGCCATCTTGTGTTATAATACTGTGTCGATCACCTTTCCAACATCTGTTGATTCTCTTCTCACTATTTCTACTCGTCTGATGATATTAAACGACTTCTTAGAACTCAAAAGCAAAAGTTTAGCATATTAAAAAATGAATCAACGAAAGAAACATCCGAATGGCATTGTTGATGTTATAAAAAAAACGGCTACTTCCTAAATGCGTCCGAAATTTAAGCCAATTAGTATAAAATTGGGCGCAATTTGAAACGAGTAAATTTATATTATTCTGCGTTTCCAAATTGCGGCCAGTTTTTAATTAGTGAGTAATCAACAATTGTAATTCAAAACATAGATATATAAATTAGTCGCTTTTTAGAAAAAAACAGAAGTAGAAACATATATAAACAGAATTGATGACTATATATTTATGTATTATATATATGCAGCTATGGAAAAACAGCTATATCAATAAAGCATTTAATCTTCAACACTACTATCTCCGACATCTTTTATAACTGACGAGCCGTTCTGATTTACACGTTTTAAGTGGCATAAGTAATTATTATACAAAACTGGTGTTTCACCTCTTTGACTTTTTGACCAAGTAAAGTTTGTATCCATTGTTTTAAATAAAGTGTGACCTTACTCTCCATGCTTCTATATTTATATTATCAATAAGACAGAACTCCTGATCAAATTTTGCAACGACAAATCATGCTATAAAATATTCTTTTGCAAAAAGTAATCATTAAGGTATGTTTTACTGATTAGTAATCAAAATTAATCATTTTGCTCTGGGAGTTGCTTCTTATTCTGACGTTCGTATATAGTTATCAATTCTTCTTATATGAGTCATTTGCAACTTTATTGTACAATTGGTGAAAAATAATGTAACCCTAATTTCGAATGTGTATTCGAAAATAAAACGCAAAGCTTGTAGCCTACAGGTGGTCAACCACTCTGAAGAAACTCGACATCAAAACTACGTAAATTTATGGATAGATAGGTTCAGCAGAATACAAGGAGTCAAAATTGATGTTATAACTTGGTTTTTAACTAAAAGAACCGAAAAAACTTTTAGAGTAATCTCGATCTACATTTCGCGGTATACTGTAATTTTTTCCTACTTAGGTATGTTCTAGAGACTTGCAAATTGCATCACTTGGACAACTTCTGACACTCTTTCTTGTGGGTCAACGCTGTTGCAGTCAGGCAAATCCTTGTAAAACAGCGGATGTCAAAAGTTGAAAAATCTCGATCTACAAAGTGAGCGTAAAACTCTGTTTTTCATTTTTTCGCCCGGTAAGAAAGACATTTAGCAAAGCATTTTTACTCAGTTAGATGCAGCCGCTCTTGCTCTTTCTTATGAACATCGCACATTCCCAAAAAAACGTTTTCTCAAGTGCCCAGTTTTATTTTTATCTCGACCTACAAGTTGTCTGTAAAACAATTTTCGCCATAGACGAGCATAAACAAAAAAACACAAAACAAGCATGAAGGCACACAATTTGATAGAGTATCAAATGCTCTACAAAACGTACTATTTGCTTTTTGCTTTTCGTTCTTTCTTTTGTTACTGTCAACTTACTTTTCTCTCAATAACTCATCTAAAAAATACGTTTTTTTCGATTTTTGCTGGATTTATCTCGGTGAGTTGTTGAGATATCGAGCTTAGATTTTCTGTGGCAGTGAAGCAAGCAAACAGCGTTAAAACAAAAAAAAGAATTTCGAAATCCGTTTTCAGAAACCGGAGTAATTTTAAAAATACGACAAAAACTCAATTGTACAATAAAGTTGCAAATGACTCATATATGTTTCTACTTCTATTTTTTATATCAATTTATATATTTATATTCTAAATTACGATTGTAGTGGCCGAAAAAAATGGTGCTTGTTTCTTTAGTAATGAAAAGAATAAAATTAAGTCGTTGTAATTTGAAATGAGGAAAGATGTGTGATTGTTACCTTTTTCGAGAAAAAAGGTAAACATCTGGACTCTACCAGTAACAAATCGAAAAAATCTTTTGAAATCTATGTTAAGTAAAAATTCTGTAATTAGACTAATCTCTCGCACTTAGAGAGCACGTCAAAATACATTCCGATCGGTCGTTATTCTGCTGGTCTTTAATTCCTTTATTCTGAAAGTACTTCACCTATTCTGCTAATATTTCGATCAGTCGTTGTTCCTCTATTATATTAACGTGCTTGATCAATCTTTATTGCTTAAACTGTTTATTTTAGCAATTTCTTATATAAGTACATCAGAGATGACGCTTGTGTGTTTCTTTCTTTTGACTTTGTTTTGTTTCGTTCGAATTTACTTTTCTCTACACGCTCATATTGTATGCGCATAAAACATCTTTTCGTTCGAAACAGAAAACGCGAAAAGAACAAGCTTCATCTTATATCGGATGTTCAGTAATTACATATACAAAAAAGATAATACTTGTTGTAATTTCCTGTATAATCTGTCAACTGAATGAACTAAAACTATCGATACAAACGCAAGACAACATATCAAAGTAAATTAGCCTGTAGAAATCTCGTAGAATTACTTGTAAGGTGGAATATCTTAAAACTATTTTTAGATCACCTAGTTAAGGATAAAATAAGCATAACCTAGATAACGCAGAGCACTATCTTCTTCGTGTATGTAATTGTTGAATATTAGATAAAATGTAAAACTTATTCTTTTTGTGTTTACTGTTTCGAAAGAAAATGCATCATGCGCATACAATATGAGCATGTAGAGAAAAGTAAATTCGAACGAAAGATAAAACCAGGTCAAAAGAAAGAAACATACAAACGTCATCTTTGATACGCTTGAGTTAAAGTGTGAAAAAGAACCATGTTCAATAGAGTACTGTGGGGTGAAAAGAGTCAGTACACGAAAAATTTTCTTCGTAATTTCACTATTTCTCATCCATTTTTAATTTAACAAATTCGGTATTAACCACGTTGGAAGAGACGACAATTATGCACGCACTACCTAGTAAAACTTCGTGTAATCAAGATCTTAACGTCTTGATTTTTTCAGTAAGAACTTGATTCAAGATCTTGATAAGAAAATATAAGAATTCAAGAAATTTCAAGAAGTCAAGATCTGAACATCTTGTAAGTTCTTGACTTATTGTACCAAGATCTTGGAAATTCTTGGATCATCGCTTTGTTTTACGCTCAAACATCTGTACAGACTTCCCAAAATCGATTTTAATACTACTGTGAGTGTAAAAGTTATTAATAATGATACTGTCATCTTTATCATATGCGAAAACTGACATTTCATTGCTAAAAAGACAGAAATTTTATGATAAACTAAAATTCTAAGTAATTTTGATCATGTTCTAGTCGTAATCTGATCCATATTTTGAATTAACAGCAAGTAAATTTAATAATGTAATCATTGTTATTATGTAATACATTGTTGGGAATCGAACGGAAAAAGAATGAAGTTTCTACCATGAAAAATAGCTGAGATATTTAGAAAATTTCATCTTTTTTAAGCAAATTTTTCTAATATTTCTATTTAAACTTTCAATATTGAAAGAATTTTTCTGTCCTTGGCAGCCAAGAATAAAAAATGTCAACACGGATTATTAAATGAAGCTCAGCATTGACGCTTTTGTCAGGAAAATTCTTTCAATATTGAAAGTTTAAATAGAAATATTAGAAAAAGTTGCTTAAAAAAGATGAAATATCTCGGCTATTTTTCATGGTAGAAACTTCATCCTTTTGCGTTCGATTCCCAATAATGTATTACACAATAAGGTGTAATCACCTTACATTATTTAATTTACCTGCTGTTAATTCAAAATATGGATCAGATTACGACTAGAACATGGCCAAAATTACCTAGAATTTTAATTTATCAAAACATTTCTCTCGTTTTAACAATTAAATGTCAGTTTTTGCATATATAAAGATGACAGTATAATTAATAACTTTTACACTCACAGTAGCATTAAAATCGATTTTGAGAAGTCTGTAGAGATGCTTCTTTTTTGAAATCTCCATGGATTTCAACAGATTGAGTCTGTTTACCCCAAAGACAAAAATTCAGAAAATGATACGCTTTATTGTGGTCTAATTAACTTAATGAAGATAACAGATATGAAGATCAAAATTATATGGTTCGATAGAGGAAGAGTAGAGCTTTACAATGATATTATTTTCAGTTAATTAGCATTCATTGTTAATGAGCTACGATGCTTTTAAAAAATCTCCATTTATTTGAATGAATTGACTCTTTTTACGCCGGAGTACTCTATAAGAAATCGTTAAAATAAAAAGTTTGCGCAATGAAGATTAAACGAGCCCGTTAATGTAATAGAGGCACAACGACTGATCGGAATACTAGCGGAATCGAAAAAAGGAAGAATAGCTGAATACTCTCGGGATAACGAAATTGAGGACTAAGAGAATGACGATCCATCTGGATCTATTTTAAGGTGCTCTCTTAGATAACATAACTCTACCTATTTCTTATTTCTTATCAGTTGAAACGTATAGGTCATATTAAAAGAATAATCATCTAGCGATACAAAACAAAAATATCTGAAGCTTCTACAAAGATAGCTAAAGTTTACAGTTATTTTCCACGTCCTATTGCACACATTTCAACTCATCATTTGTTAAAGAAGCGCCTCAGAAAACATGTAGAATATTCTTACGTTACTATGTTCGTTCGAAAATCACTTCTTCAGAGGGACGAAATCTGTTTACGCTCAGAAACTTATAAGAAAGATAACATTCAGTTTGCGGAAAAGTAGGCAAATTCTGTGTTTTTTTTCAAATGTACAATTCGGAAAAAGTTAAAAAAAATTCTAGCTTTGCTTCACTTTTTTTATATGCCATATACATTTCTACTTTTTCGCACAAAAAACGTTTTTATATACAATATCAAACATATTTAGATCATAATTTACTGTTCTAGATTAGCAAACAGTAACCGTTATTTCGTTTCTTTTCTTATCACACTCAAGGTTCTGCATTTTTGTGTAATAAATCTTTTATTTGATCTAGTTATCTTCTATTGTTGACAGCATACATGAAAAAATGTAGCTTCTTTCAAAATAGTTTCTAACATTGCGTGGTTTCTAACTTTAGTCTTGGTGTTTTTATTAATCTGATTTTGTAACTTCAATATAACGTTTATTCAGGCGACAATATTTCTTCTTCTAATAAATGTTGTTTTTCGAATTTTATATAGTAACATCTTAGATATGTCTGAAATCATTCGTCGAATTATCAAGTCACCCACTGCTCCACCAGCCGGAGGACCATACAGGTATTATTCAGTTTTCACTTTTTTACTAATGTAAATTATATTAGAGATGTGCAGGATAGCTGATTGTTCAGTCCGGTATGTATATCATTCGTCGACTAATTTTTGTCGACTAGCACTTTTGTCGACACCATTTAGTCGACAATTTTTTGGCGACACTTGATTGTCGAAAGAATATCTTGTCGACGGGTTATTTTGTCGACAATTTTTCGTCGACGCATAACTTGTCGACAAGTGATTTTGTCGACGAATATTTTGTTGAGTAATATGCGTGAAAAAATTACTAATGCTCAGGAGCACCAATTTATATTTTGATTTTATTGAGCAGATAGAGGAGAAAATAACAGCTGGAGTAATTATAAAGACAATATAGATGACTAGCGGACTAACAAGATGAAAACGTTAAAACAAACGTTGAAAGGTCTGACACATTATTTCTTCTTGCGACCAAAAGGCCTTTGATGTAGTCGATCACGTCGATCTCTTTCTTCTTGAATCGATCCACGAGCGTATCGAGACACTGTTGAATGCGCCATGTTTGTTGCCCATAAATTTTCTTCTTGCCCATTTTCACAGGAGATTATGTAATACATGCACCAAATAGCTTGTCGACAAAGAGATGAATTGTCTACAAAATAACTGTCGACAGAATGAGTTGTCGACGAACTTTCTGTCAACAAAACTGTCTGTCGACGAAGTGTCTGTCAATAAAAAATGTCGACGAAATAAATTCGACAAAATTCTTGTTGTCAAAAATGTTGTCGACGAAGTGCCTGTCGACACAAAAGCTGTCGACGAAAAGTTGTCGACAAACTGTGTTGTCGACCAATGATATGCAATTCGTTCAGTCCTGGCCCTACTCGACGTAGGAGAGATCTGAACAGCTCTGACTTACATATAACTATCATTGAAATCTTCTTCTGATTCAACATCATAGTTTATATTAGAAATGTGTTTAGGTGAGAATTTTCTTTACTTCTAATCAAAATTGATCAATGGATAACTTAGGTTTGTAGATCCCACAAACCTTATTAAGTTAGTTATCAAGAGATTATCCTAGTCAAAAGAATTTTAAGATGTCAGCAATCCAAAATTTGAGCAAAATTTCTTTTTCATTTTATTAACCGTGGTTGGGTAACGCTCATCGAGTTGCAGTACTAAAGTCGAGTTCAAATTTTTTTAATACATTGTTACATGTGTAGAAATAGATTTTTTCATCTTTTGAGCTTAGATTTGAGAATTTCATCCGATAAAGGAGGCCGTGCAATAAGAACAAGAGTCAGCCTCCTTTCAAATTTATTTGAACGGCGTCCAGAAGCAAACAGCATGTGATTTTATGGTATTCCAGATCTTTGGTTTCTCTTCGAAGTCGATATCTGTAAGAAAATCGATTAGGTTTGAACAATATCGTCGCAAATCCATTGCTATATAATATTTAAGTAAAAAGGACTAATCTGTAAAACGTAAAGAATCGTTCCACTTTTCTTTTTTGCTGAGAATGGCCCTATGTGAAGCAGAAAATCAAGAACATTTGAGTTTAGGTGATTGAACCCACTCTATCCAGATAGGATCTTCACTTCGAAGTTGACATAACAGAGCACCCTTAAAATCTTTCTCCTGCACTTTTCTCCCACTATATGACCATATAAACAAATCAATATATAATTAGAAAGCTCTTTCAATTCTCTGCAAATTGGTCTCGATATCTTCCTTAATTTGCAAAAGATCGTTAAGTTCAACATACCATGTATGACTAGAAAAAAATGTGACCTGCAGATCATTTAGGGTAACTTTTTTTGAAAAAGCGAAAAAAAACCATTTTTCTAAAATGTCCTGTTTTTACGGCTTGATCACATAACTCTGCTACCACAATGTAATTCTGTCACGATATTTTTGCATTTTGCTTCTTCTAGAATTCTCGAATGAAGATATGTCCAGAGCTCTGCAACATCTCATATCGAAGAAAAAAGTGTGCTGAATATTTCGAGACTTTGGTACACTCTACATATCCTTTTATTTAAGATCTATAGCAAAAATACGAACTGCTAGTTTTCAAAACTTACCTGGAAAAGTAATAGTGCGTATTTTTGCTATAGTTCTTTAACAGAAGAACACGTAGAGTGTGCCAAAGTCTCGAAATAGAAGCGATAGATAATTAGTTCGACTAGTGTGATTCGGCATTTCTATCGAAATATATTTCCAAATTCTTCTTCTTATAGCACTATGTGATGTGCATTTTCTTTATGATGTAAAAGCGAATTCTGCCTCTCACGGCACAGTCTTACTTCACGAAACTATTCTGATCAAAAAATCAATCAAACATCGACATATATTGAATCTTCTCTTTGAAATGTCATAATTTTTTCTTTTAGTCAAGGTGTTCAAGTTGACAGAACACTTTATGTATCAGGAAATATTGGTGTTGATCCCCAAACTGGTAATTTCGCAGGTAGTAATGTAACAGATCAAGCAAGACAAGTGAGTAAAGTTTGTCTGAAATATTCTATCTTTAATTGTTTTGTTTTTATTATCGCAGGCTTTGAAAAACATTGGTGAAATATTAAAAGCAGCTGGTTGCTCGTATAAAAATGGTAACTGAAATAATAATATAGAACATACTAAAACACTTACTAATGGTTATTTTTCTTGTAGTTGTGAAAACCACGGTTTTTCTTCAAGATATGAATGATTTTTCAGCAATGAATGAAGTGTATCAAGAAGGTGCTGTTAAGTCTTGACGTCTTAAAGTTAAAAACTATAAATATGTTCTATTTATTTAGTATTCTCTGATCGTCATCCAGCACGTTCAACAATTCAGGTGGCTGCTCTACCAAAGGTACACATCTATATAAATTTCACGTTTATTTTTAACATATTTTGTATTTTTAGAGTGCAAAAGTTGAGATTGAAGTTGTAGCAATTGTTGGTGATATCAAAGAGGAATAACTAGATGAATATCAAATGATTTTTAAAGCAAATCTTTGAATATTGTTACGTCATCTAACGATGTGTGTATGCGGGAGTTCTTGTTCTACATGTCATAGTTTTTAGAACAAACTTCAATTGTCTATGATATTTATTGTCTTCAACGAATAAATAAAATCATACTGTACTGTTTCATTTGCAGACCTTTTATATAGAGAGGTGTCATAATTCGCATACAATCCGTCTCGTCATTTATTCGCTTTTTCGAATTTCGAAAATTATGAAAATTATGAGAATTACAGCCCGTAATGGGATCCATGGAACCAAATACTATCCTAGTACATATCACATAACAGTTGCAAACATAATACACAATGCAATGCGTCTCATACTAGTACGGTTGAGAATGACAGTGGTAACACTACAAGGTGAGAACAAGGAAATGGTTGAGATAATTTTCATAGTTCCTAGAAACTAGGATAACTTGACCGTATTGTGTATTATGTTTGCAAGTGTTATGTAATATGTATTAGGATAGTATTTCGTCTTTTCTCTTTTTCACAAAAATATGCGTTCCTTCTTGAGATATTCGAAAAATACTAAAACTCTTGTATAAAAAACAGGTTTTTTATTTTAAAAGCCTTCTCACGCAGAAAGTTGAAATCGAAAACGTTTTAAAAACCAAGCACACCTGAGACAGGATCTAAAGTAATTTTTAGTAAAGATATGAACTCCATCGAACCATTTTTTCGAGGGGTCGTAATGTGACTGGATGGAAGGGACTATCGAAAAAACGTATAGTGAGAAAAACACATATTGTACACAGGGCTGTGTTTTTCAGGGCATTTGCAGCAATGCTTAGATCTCCACAAAAACTCATCAGAAGATTCTGGAAGACATCTCATTTTGAAGAGCACACTTTCGTCTATCAGACTATGTCAGAAAATGTTTTGAATATATAAGAAAGGCGAGAAAAACTTATGAAATTAAAAAGTTGAGATTTTCTAGGCTCTAAAGGAAAAACTTAAAAACTTCATAATTTTTTCAGCTCAAAATGGAAAGTTTTTTCCAAAAAAGAGGGGAGGGATTCCCTCAATGAATTATGAATCTTTTAATCTCATTTTTAGTAAAACACGGTTTTAATTTCATTTTTGATTTTTCGCTCGAAAATAAACATTATTACCAAATTCGACATGATCCATTGCATATGTCTTTTGCACTTTCGAGGTTATTCTAAGTTACCGAGTGTCAGTAGTGGGACTTCTTCGACATTCCATATGCCACGTTTGAATCACTGAAAATCAATATCTTGCTTGGCTCTCATTTTGAAGAAAACATTTTGGACTATTTACTCATGAAGAAAAACATCGTAACTGTTCCGGTTATGAAACTGTTTTGTAGAAATCTCCTTAAAAGCCGGTTATGAGAAATGCTTTCAACTTCTTTTTGATTATGAAAAGATGATCAAGAGTCTTGGCTATCGAATGGTAAGAACCGCAAGTTTGTGTTACCTTTTCTCTGGAGTTAATCAAAAAATAATGAGGAGCATTATATTTGAAAATGGTAGTAACTATTCGATAATAGAATATGATGAAACCAGACAGTGATATTGGTGACTCTCTATCTCAAACACCAAATGTTATCACTGAAAAACCAGGTCGGCAAGATGTCGAAAATATTCCGTGTTAGTCCGGACGAAAATTAGAAATGGATACTTTTTAATTCGTTTAGTTACTTAATTTTGCAGAAAATTCATGAAGAATGATAGTTTTCTTTAGTAGTGGAGCACATCAACATTTAGACTACGTTCCACACGTTCAGCTATTTTTGACCGCTATCCTCACAAACTGGTGAAAAACAACGACCTGATGTGAAATATCTGGGTATTATAAACGCGATGAACCAAGATGAAGTATTGAATGAAGTTGGTTGGTCGGTTAAGTCTGACAAATAGTATGAATGAGAAATTAAGGTCGCTGACTTCATACTAGAAATATCAAGAATGCTGTTAGGTCCCCGGATGAACTAAGATCTTTCGCATCGAACGTTTATTTGAGAAAACTTTATACAAAGATAGCATACACACTCTATTACACAAAAACGCACATATATATACTAAGTTGTTGCATAATCTTAAGAAACGAAGTCCGATACCACGATTATGCACTACTGTGATATTCTACGTTCTTGCACCATTTTAGAACTGTCCAATCCCGTTGACTAATGTTGATGCAATAACCTTCCACCATAACCGTGAATATATTCTTGCGCAATAACCTTGACTATGATCTTCTCCCTTATGGCACGACTCTAGTGCATAACATCACAAATGCTTTTAGTAAACACTTTTATTATAAAGTTCGTCATCGATTGTAAAGCAATTTGACAATCTTGCCACATAGCGTCTGTCGGTTGATGTATTATTTGATCTGTTCTAATATGCATACTAAAAACTATACTCCGCTTCGGGGTAGGTGGATCAGTTGTCTCCTTCTTACTTGAAATAAAGCTTAAACAAACAAAAACTATACTACAACAATTCCCATGTAGAAGTAGAGCTTTTTATAATCAAGTTTCACACATCCAATTTCTTCATATACGTGAAAATCTTTATCTAATCTACCTACATAAACACCGTCGATAAATTGGATATGATAAGAGGTGTAGCTACCTCCGTTATCATATCCAATTTATCGATGGTGTTTCTGTTAGTCACTATAACTTTTACATGCTTCGTAACTTTCTTACTAGTATATGTAAATGCTCGTGTGGAATGTTTTTCATCACTCTATCCTGATATCCCTCAAGAAAAATATGAATGAACATACATAAAATCGTGTTATTAGTCTCAAACACAGGTCACATGTAATTGCTTATAAGTCCTCAAACAAAATACGTTGAAATAATTTTTTCATGGAACAAATTAACAAACTAAAAGTTTTTCACTATATTTTTGATAGTAAATTATACACAGACTATCGTTTCTTTTCTGTTGTTCACCTTGTACTACACACATTTTATATACTAGTCAGGTTGCTCAGGACTATTTGTGTAATATTTTCTCATCTAACTGAATATTCACCTTTTATAGCCTATACTGTTTTATCAGTAAATATTGTAACGCATTAAAAATCTATTAAGGTCTTCATTAGTGACAGCTAGCTGTTTTCTTCTACTGATATGAGCAAAACACTTGAGTAAACATGCTCTGTATACTATGACTGTCTTCTATTCATTCACCTACTAGAGAATAAATACATATAACTGTGTTAGTCTCAGTTAAATATAAAATTTTGTTCTTATTAATTAGGATGATACGGTGTGTACTGATATTGTTATTTTTGTTTTTTCATACAAACATTCATAGTATACATTTCTCTACATTATCTGGACAGAAACCCATACCACCATTTGAACATGTACTAACACCGCACGCAAAAGCCCAATATGTGCTTCTAAACAAACTTCCCAAAAATAGTAAAAATCTCAAAAACTACACTACTCTTGCTAAAGCTGACTATATAAAGTCGTTACCAGGTATACTCTCGTCTAAAATTAATTTTCGACAATTTTCTGGGTATTTAAAAGTTAGCAGCACAAAACACATGTTCTATTGGTTTGTCGAAAGTCAGAATAAACCAGCGAGTGATCCACTACTGTGGTGGAGTAATGGAGGTCCCGGATGTTCTGGTTTAATCGGATTATTCGAAGAATTTGGACCATTTCGTGTTCAACCAGATAACATGACAATCCTGATAAATCCTTATTCCTGGAATCGGTTAGCTAATATTTTGTTTGTCGAAACTCCTATTGGTACTGGTTTCAGTTACAGTGATGTTCCGAAACGTGATTATGTTACATGGACTGATGAACAATCTGCAAGAGATAACTACTTTGCATTGCAAGCATTTTTTACCAAATTTCCACAATATAGAAAAAATGACTTCTATGTCAGTGCAGAGTCATACGGAGGACATTATGTACCCATGTTAGCCAAACAGATAGTTGATAGAAATCCAAAGGGAAATAAATTAACAAAAATTAATCTCAAAGGTCTCATACTTGGTAATCCTTACAATGATCCATATTCACAAGAATACGTTGGAAATATAGTAGCTTATTTTGGACATTCGGTCATCGATAAACCAACATATGATAATATAGTTCATTATTGTGTTAAACCTTATGAAAAGAATCCATATAATCCTAAAACAGGAATTGGTTTTCGGCCTTGGAATGACACGAATTGTGTTAAATACGATAACTATGCTGACTTTCTTTTGACGCCACAGTTTGTTTCTTCAAATTATACAACCGGACTCGATCCTTATGTAAGTTGATCAAATATAATTTTGAAAAATTAACGTACACATGAATCGGATGATAAATTTACTATTAATATCGAAACAATCATTTCTCTTCTCGTCTTACATACTGCAGTTTCATTTTAGGGACTCGACTATGCTTACTGTTCATCTACTCAAAATCAACGTGAAGTATTATGGTGGTTTCGGCACAAATCATCCTCATCGAAAGATAATTCGACAGTTGTATTTCGACCATGTATCAACTCGTACACTATCTATTACCTTTGTAAGTCAAATGTTCAAAAAGCTCTTCATGTTCGATCAGCTAAAATTCCTCCACATAATAATATAACTGACAAAACGAAATTATGGGTTGATTGTTCGCCTCTAATAACAGGTCAATATAGTCGTATAAGTTATTATAGTTACATGACTTCTCATTATACGTACTTGTTAAAAAAACAACCTAAATTAAAAATTCTTATCTACAGTGGTGATGATGACGGAGTATGTGCAACTGTTGGAACTCAATATTGGCTCTATGGTTTGAATCTAACTATCACATCTCCATTCCAACCTTGGTATGATTATTTTATACCAGATCAAGTCGGTGGGTATGTCGTAAAATTCAAGGGTATCTCTTTGGTTACAGTGCACAGTGCAGGACACGAAATTGCCTATTATTCCCCCGCACGATCGTATGGATTCTTCAAATATGTTTTAGAGGGAAAATTTTGGCCGTGAGCAATTTGATCTTTATGTACTAGCTTACTGGAAACTAACTTACGGTTTAAAGAAGCAATGTTCTCGTTTACATTCGTCTCTACTCTAATGCACTTCCTGTATTTAAACATACTTCTTATTCATGGTTGATTTCATGATACCCACGCGTTCTAAGAAAAGAAGTGAAAAAATCAAATTACTGCACAAAACATAATTTTAATTCTGATGCTATTATATAGGTCAATGGACGTTTAAGCGATCCGATACTTAGAGGAGAAATGTAATGGGTAGTAAGAGTAAATGAATAAACAGCATTGTAGATCCGTTTCATTCGACACTTCACGCAAAACTACGTCTAATCAAATGTTTTTCAGATGTTAGTTCCTCAAAATCGGCGAAAACTGAATTGTCGATTCAAATTTAGACGATGCTATTCCCTAGTAAACTTGAGATCAAGTACTTAGCTACTTGCAAATTTTCTAAAATACTTGGTTAAGCATTTGTCAAGCATTTTTTAGATTTAATATGTACCAAATACTTGAAAGAACTTCGGATACTTGCATAGATTTCGCACGTGCTTATCAAGTTACCTGTCAAATACTTGATGAAATACTTATCTAGTACTTATACTTGTTAAATTACTTGATAAGTACCTTTTCTACTTGTAAAAAACTCTAGGAACTCTAGATGCTAGGCATGGGCGAAACCGGACTGGAAGAATTTTTGGCAGACTTAGACTCGGACTGGAGATGTTTTTGAAGGACTCGAACTTGAGTTTTTGTATTTCGAGTCCGATCTTTTCAACTTTTAACACAAATGAACAGAAAAACGATAAGCGAAATAATAACACCTTTTGTTTCACAAGAAATTGAAAATTTTGTTCGGGAGACGGACATGAATTTTATAAGAATCTTGTAAGGTTCACATAGGCTAGTATAAGAAATTCGTAAGAATCGGCAGAATTCGTACATTATTCTTATCGTATTCGTATAAAAGTCTTATCAAATTCTTGCAAGTTCCTTGTGCAAATCTTGATCGACCGCCTACAAAATAAATTTCAGTGCAGCACTGGAAAAAAAGGCTTCCTCGACCAGTGAGCACGACATGCCATGTAAACTCCTGCTGGGCAAACTTTTTTCTTACTCTGACGTGAGTCCGTAAAATTTTTCTTTAGCCCGAACCCGTGAGCTCGACCCCGCGAAGAAATTATTTGGTCTCGAAAAATAAAGCCACGAGCTTCGTCGTAACGTTTACCCCATATATTTAAATCGATAAATAATACATCTGCTAGGTTTAGATTAATTAGAATAGTTTCGAACTTGACAGGCTATCATATATTGTAGAGCAAACAATTTTCTACAAACTGTTATACTTGTTCAATTTTTGCTAGCTCGTCTTCACTCTTTTAGACAAATTTTTCAGATAGCCCCAAAATCGATTTTCGGAGTTGTTTATATAAAAGCTGTATTTTCATAACGAACCGACGCTCAGAGCCGAGACACTTTTCATTTTGTAGAGAAATGTTTAATCTACCTAATTATCCAGTTGCCATTTTAGATTAGTTCGTAGCTTTATTGCAATAACTTTTTGAAAAAGAGCAGAAAATAGAGGTCGTTAGCTGAACAAGCCGTAAAATAGTCTAAAAAAAGTCCACAATACCGTTTATTTTTTACGGGTTTTCACGAAAACGATATAATACCAGCGCAAATCACACATACATGTGTATAGTCACTGGAGAAACAGAAAGAAAAGAAAAGAAAATTATTTTATATTAATCGTCAAGACAAGGTTGTTTCCTCATGTTCTTTCTCATGTTTGTTCGTTCTCCTTTACCAAATAAATAAATAAAACCCCGTGACAGTCATTAGAATTAATTTTATAAACAATGCTTAGACGCTTTTTTGTTGTTTAATTTATCTTTGATTGGAGAATAACGCTTAATAGTTTCTGGTGTTTTACACATAATGTATAGTATCAATTGTGAATTATTTTTATATATTTAAGCCTAAAATGTCATCTAGCTCAGATCGTGTTTCAAACAAGATGTTACTTCAGTTACATCCTATTTTCATACATCTTTTGTAAGTATTTTCAATTTACTACTAAATGGCCCTAAATCTACTCATTAGAAAATCAGCAAAATGTTGATATTGAACAAGATAAAGCAAGTAATACCAACAATAAAAACCACGCGTCCAATTCATTTATTTTCTGTTATCTCCAAAGTGATTATGATATTCTACCATCAGAACAATCATGATTTGTCCGTGGCCAGAGATTGCGGTATCGAGTCTTCGATATGCTTCAACAAGTGCGAAGGTCACTGGCAGCCAAACGACCTGTGTTATCAATTTTTATTAATTTTCAGTCAGTCTTCGATATGGCTTTGTCGCAGTTCGCCAATTCAACTTTCGCCAACGTTTACCAATCGACATCCGCAGACGGCGAATATCCACAGAAATTGGCGAATGTCTGTTGGCGAAAGTTGAATTGAGGAAACGCGACTTTACCGCTAACAAATGTTTAAATGTCACGTAGTGTGATTCATGTAGTAGAACGAAAGGAGCAAAAATTAGGCATTTCTTTGCGCTGTTATATTTTGGTCCGCATTGTGTTTTCTGTGGTAGTTTTTGATGATACATCGTAAAACCTTGGCTGTTATCTGATTTTGTAGAAAATTGTCTAAGGGAGTGATTGAAAATATTTTAGAATGAATTGTAAGGTTGTCAGATTGTTTGGAAAATCAGGGCTTTTAGAAAACCGCGGAGAGTGTAAAATGGCTATAACTTTATTTCTAACAAAGATTATACCTGCAGTTTTCGCCACTCGATTCAGCTCGTCGAACAAAAAAGACAGAGACACAACAACAAAAAGTCTAAGAAAAGAATAAATACAAATTTTTAACTTTTGGCTCGTATTCTAGACAAAATGAGCTCACACACTGTTACAAAACACCGAATAATTTGTCACAAGAAAAAAACCATTGAAATTTTGAAAATCACATATATGAAAGTTGAGATACGATAAATCTTGATATTAGAAACTATTTAGAGCAGAAAAACGCGCATATGCATGCACACTCCAATGAATACTGAGGACAGGTACTGGCGAATGTCTATTGGCGAAAGTTTAATTGGCGAAACGCGATTTTACCTTAGATATGTGTTGACACGAAGGCTTCCTCTTCAAACTCAGACAACTTCACTTCCGAAAAACATCTATGAATGGGCAAAAGGATATTTGAAAAATCGATATTGCTGCATCTCAATCAATGGAACTCGGAGCTGATTCCTATTAAAAGGGGATGTCCTCAAGGCAGTATTCCAGGCGCCATGTTCTTCGCTGTATATATTTACGATCTTTCTTCATCTATTTCAGCTTCACACGATGACCATCCATACGCTGACGACTATGATGTGCTCTTCCATGCACCATTATGAAAAGAAGGATCAATACCAAAAAAACGTCTAATAGTAAGAGTAAACAAAACAAAAAGATCACATCTTTAATCGAAAAACAGATGAAATATCTTGAAAAAGATGGTAATAAAGCGCTGAACGCTTTACTCGCCAATTCAGTAAAATGGAAACAATTAGTGAGTGTTCCCAAAACGGTTTATATGATTCACAACAGAAATCCAAGAACATATCATATAAACTTAAGATACAACAGGAAACGACTGAGAGTCAAACAGAACAGATATCTCAGCTATACATTCAGTGAGAGAATGTCCTTCATGGTACACCTTATGGACATATTAGAAAAAACTCAAAAGAATATGAGTATGTTAAAATACGTCAGTTATTCAAGAAATGTTACCAAAAATGCCAGAAGACTACTCTATTTTGCTTTTTCATACCAACACATCGGCTGGCTGCTACCGATTTTCCACTTTCCCCCACAGTATATAAATCGATTAGAAACAATACATCGTAAAGCCCTTAGATACATTTGCAAGTTAGGGTAGGCATCGAACCTGCTGTTATACAACTTCACACGGGAATATTCGATTGAACAACGCGCAGCAATATCACTAATGAAATGGCTTAGGATGATAGAAGATTTGCCAAACACTACTATTTTTACTCTAGTCAACGATATTAACTATAGGCATAATTTCAATAAACATTTTCTAATAGAACAATATATACAAGGACTGCCACCAGGGAGAACCAGGAAAACACTTCGCTCATACCTGGGGAAGCAAAGTTTATTCCTGATTGACTGGCTATTATTTCTAGACAAACATGAACACTTTCTGAGAAGCATTGGATTATAAACAACAGAGAAATGTATTGTGCATATGTTTGTTTGCTGTTTTGTGTGAATTTTTGAAAGGTCAAAGTCCACAAGACCAAGCTATAAACAGAAGCATCTCAACACGAAAATCCTGCTCAGTTATCCTAATGGTGTGCTTCCAGTAGGAATTCTATCGTCAATTATAACCAAAAAGTGCTTGTAATTCACATCGATTGGTTTTCAATTGTTATCCCTCGTCGATTCGCCTTGTGTATTGCATTGTTGTTGCCATTCAGCGGTTTTGTTGAGTTTGAATCTTTCTTTCTGCTACTGTATCGATAGATCATTATTTGATGATTGATCGATAATCGACCACACGTCAACATATTGTACAATTCTGTTCGAAATAATCTACAAAGACAGTGTAGAAAGATGTTCGTCATCGAGTTTAACAAGTCTAATATAATAATGAGATCATAATATTTTTGAACAAACAATGGACAATTGCTGCCGATAAATAACGCTCCTCCGCAGTAAATCAGACTGAGTAAAACATCGATAAACCACGAACTCAAAACACTTAGTATACATTCAGTGGTGATAATAATTAATACACGTCTCTTATCATCTGAACGACGACAGCATTGCAAGAAATAACTATTCTTACGTGACCTGCATTTTACAATACGTTTAATACATGCTATATTGCTAATTATAGTCGCAACAGACGGTATAATACTGCCTAACACTAAAAAGAGTCAAACACGTTAAATTAGTACTAG